ACACTTGCCCTCCAAATATTTAAGCTGTGAAGGAATTATCAACAACTACTTATCACAACAGGAAAAAAAAAATGCTCCTAATGCATCTATGAGTTACAAGTTGCAATGCTAATTAGATACCATGAAATACTACACCTTCTATTGAGTGACTAATCCATACTAACTACACTCCTTGCATTCTATACATACTTTGGCTCCTCTGGAACACATGTGTTCTTTCACAATGCATGTTTCATTTTTTTTAATTAATATTGCATGTGAACAATTGAAAAACATTTAAATAGCTTGATCAGAGCCAACAATATAGTACTTTCATTTTTAGCTTTCCTAGATTCCCAGACAATATTAGATGTCAGCTAAGAAAATGGCGGGGGGGTGGAGGGTAGCTAAGGCCATTATCTAAGGACACAGCAATTTCTATCAGGTATTTCAACATGGCAGAAGAGTAGTCAGGTTGTAATTGGCCCTGTCGAGTTCATCCACAAGCTACCACATTCTTTACCTCAGCATCCTTGTATTCAAAAGGGGGGAAAAAACCTACAAAGTTAGTTTTTACCTTTGAAAATATGAAATGAATCACGTCCCCATTCACCCTGCTAACTGAATGCTCCTTGATAAAAGTGTGTGTATCAACACTAGTAAAATTGATATTGAGAAATAAAATATATTCCAGAAAATTCCCCACCTCCTACATTGGTTATTTAACAGCCAAAATAACAAAGTGCTGTGCTAGGCCTGGTGATGCAGGCCTATAATCTTAGTTATTCCCAAGGCTGAAGCAGGAGAATCCCAATTCAAAGCCTCCCTGGTCTTCAGAGCTACTTCAAAGCTAGTCTAGGCTTAGTGAGAGCCTATTTCAAAATAAAAAACACAAAACAGTCTGAGATTGTGGCACAATGATAACATGCTTGCCTAGCTTGTGCAAGGCCTTGGGTTCAAATCTCAGTACTAGTTTTTCTTTTAAAAAATGCCCTCAGTGTTTTGCTAGTATTTGTGCTGCTTATCTGCTGTGTTAGAAAACATCTCTAGATAATTCAGGATCAGAAAGCATCTATTTTAGGATGTTTAGAAGTAAGTGATAAGTGATCTCCTATACTGTATTTTTACCAATTTCAAGTTGGACACACTGGTAGGTATATTTTTAAAACTTCTAGACAAAGGACTCCAAAAGGATAGAAAGAAGTAATAAAATGCAAGGGAAAAAACCCATGAGACGATACAAAAATATTCTTAAAAATAGAGATTGCCAAAAGAGGAAGACAGCCGTGGCTTTAGAGGAGGACTTCATTTAGACAGACAACATTTGTTTTCTGCTTTAACTTGATTGAGACCTTTGACACTAAATTGAAAACAGCTAACTAAATATAAAAGGATATAGGAATCACTGGAGGAGTAGAATTTTCTGTTTTGTGGAAGATGTATCTGTTGGTGTCTTAAGGAATTGCCTTTGCTCTGTTTACCAGCACTGAGGCACCGACTAGCAGCCAGGTAGGGAAGTTTTGTGTACAGAGGTGGCTTTCTTTTTCCTCATCTGTTATTTTCTTAAACATCCTCCTTCAATGGAGCAAGAAGACTCCTGAATAATGTGAAAAATAGGGAGAAAAGTTGCAGACTCTTCATTTGTTGACAATGACGAAGTCTTAAAACTTCAGCTGCTTTTATCTATTTCCTTTCTGCTGCTTTCATAATTTTGTTCACCATGAAAGCCAGGGAAGCAGGACAGAACAAATGGGCCCCTCATTTGCACTCCACATCTTTATCTTCCTATTTAAATTCCACCTTGCAAGGAAAAGGACCTTGTTAGAGAAAGCTATAGGAAGCCAGGTATGCATAGCCAAGCCCTGTCCAACATCTCCCCACCAAGTCTCAGAGCTGGGGAGTAAATACCTATAGCCCAACCACTACTGGGAGGAAAAATCCAGTAGCCAGGTGCCTATGAAATTCATGCAAGGGGCTCAGGGACATTTCAACAGACAACCCTGGTAGTCCAAGAACTTGGGGAGGCATCTACAAGTAGAGTTACAAGCTCTGATCATTCTGTCAGCTCTGAGGATCCCTTGCTCAATGAACAGTGGCAAGGGAGAGTGTGAAGGCCATGTATAGCATTGGACACAGGGCAACAGCAATGGTTGTATGAGGCAAAGGATGGTATTGGCTTCCAGTTAAAAAAGCAGTTGTTGGTAGTACACCATCATGATGTCTACCGCTATCTGAAAGTTCTACTTCAGTTCAGATGAACTAGAAGCCAAGTCAAGTAAATTAATAACAACATTTACATTTCCTTGAGTTTTATAAAAATGGATTTGATATTAAAAAAAAATTTCAGCCTATCTTGATAATTAAAACAATTTATCCTTGATCAGAAGTTAAACTTTCAAACTTAAAAAAAAATCTAGTATTCAAGTTTAAAAGATCAGTCCAGGACGTCACAGTTTTATTAGTTGAGAACAACAACAAGAACAACAACAACAAAAAACCCTTCACCTCTTAAATTGTAAAGAAAGCATTCTTTCTGTCATTTCTTTAGTTAAAACTCCTTTAAAATTAATCACACAAGAATCTAATGGTTGGAAAAAAATGACCAGTTTCCCTATAAAAGTGTAAATGTGTTTTAAAAGGTACGTGGTAGAAGAATTGAACCCTAAATTAACTGGAACTATGTATAAACACCTTAGAAACGCTGGGGATATTAAATAAGACAGAGACAGTGAAGAAGGAAGGGAGGAAGAGAGGAAGGAAAGGAGGGAAACACTATTCTGTAAGTGAATTCTGTTACAAACCTAAAACAAGGAGAAATGATGAGACATTTGCAAATGACAATAGCTTTCAATTTTTAAAAGCTGTCACCTGCAGACATTTCCAAATTGATCAGAGACTGATCCCAGCTGCTCTCTAACACATTGGGTCCAGGTTCAGAGAAAAATAAGCAAGGCAGACTCCTAAAGAACATATAAATGCAAAATGTAAAAGATCTCTGTGTGAACAAAGCAAAAAAAAAAAAGCTGTTTTGGTGAGCAAAGCCAATCATTCTCAAAAGTAGAGCTCCGAGATCTTACTGTAGGAAACTGTTATCAAATCCAAATATCTAGAGGATAATCAGTATGAATGGGAGCTGTTCCCTCCTGCCCAGTTCATCTATTTCTGCCTTCCCTTCCTTCATAAACTGTCTCAGAGATGGGCATTATGGGACAGTTTTGGTGAGATCCTGGTTTTACCTCAAAACTGATCTTGAATAACAGTATTAGTGGAATAGCATTTACTGGACCTGGAAAAGTTCATCAGTTCTTTGAAAAATCCAATGCTCTTTAGCAACAAATTTCATTATTCTTAGGTGTGAATCACTAGTCTCTCTCTCTCTCTCTCTCTCTATATATATATATATATATATATGTGTGTGTGTGTGTGTGTATTTATTGATATATGCATGAAAATGGTTCAAAAACAAAGTTTGCACATTGCCAGTTACATACAATTTTCTATATTCTATATTCTGACAGAATTTTCTGAATACAGCTTGCACTTAACATCTCATGTTTCTTGCCGTCACTTGCTCAGAGTGTGACTTCTTGGTTTTAATTTGGGTTCTCCCTTGACTTTGGGGACATGGTTGAATTATAGCTTTAAATATGTAACTGAAATAATGCTTCTCTTTCAAGTAGACATATTGACTGTCCAAAAATGGAGAAAAAGGAGACATGAACTAATATTTAGAGTAAGAGAAACATGCAAAGAACTTCTTCAGCACTTAAAGAATCTTCAGTGTTGTGGATTTGGTTTATCATCTCATAATTCCCACTGTGATTCCGTGAAGTATTTAATTATTATGCTTGATTTTAAATGTGGTTAACAGACTAGGAGAGTTAAATGCTCACAATACACAAGAACTAAAGAGATTTGTACACACAATTTTCTTTCTATCACACTGCTTCTGTAGTTATTCTTTGAATTTGTCATTTGTAGTTCGGATGTTTTAAAGGGAACAGAAAACAAGAGCTGCTATACCTGACTTTTGGTGCTTGCTAGCTTATCTTCACATATTAACGATTAACTTTCTCTGGCAACTAGCAGGCACCCCCATCTAAAGACTTCCCCATTTTTTTTTTTACTGCTGCAAAAATCTGATAATAAACTTGAGCTACCCCTGCCTGCAATGCACACACACACACACACACGTTTCTTTCAAGAAAATCTGTAAAATCATACATTTTATATTCAAGTCCTATGAATTTAAAGAATGCCTCATGACTTTTAGAGTGAAAACATAAGTGGATGTGATATTTATCCCCCAACACATTAAATTAAGAAAATGCAGACTACTGTGTTTCACCTGACCCACCATCCCCGTGTAGCCATCACAATGGTATCTAAAAAGCTTTCCCATGGATCTTAGGGTATCCTAGATCAGATCTGCAGCCTTCAAGTGCAGAGTGGGTCACAGACGTTGCTCAATGGAACTTAGCACTTTGCTGGGATCTATGATAAAGGGCATTGCTTATATGGTATGATCTACTTAAATATTGCCTCTGATTAACATAAAAGACTTGTGAATAAAGGCCTGTAAGGTGTATGCATTTTATTAGCTGGGATTGTTGTTAAATTTTCATTTCTCAATGAGACTATCCTAAAGGCTGAAATTTCACTTGTGCTTGGAGTTCTTAAGATTCAAAATCCTAAACACTCGAATAAGCAAATGAAATTGGTATTTAAGGATACAGTACACGGACCTTCAGGAAAACTCTGAATATTTTTTAACTTTTCATGGAGATGCTTGGTCCCGTCTTGGACCTAAATTAGAAATAAAGCTTGGGAGCAAATCTTGCAGGTATCTACTTCTCAAACAAAATCAAAATATTTGCAGAGGTGACTATCCACTACCGGGAAATAGAAATTAAAAGTTAAGTTTGGCTAAACAAATGAAATTTATTTTTTATTTATTTATTTGAAATTTATTTTTGATGATTTGGCCACTTACTGTTGGATCAAAGAAAACATTTGTCCGATTTAGTTAACACATCGCTTTTTTATTTTTTAGAATATAGTCTACATCTGGATTTAAAAAAAAAGTTTTAAATAAATTTAAGACATAGCAACCGTGGAACCCTTCATGATTCTATATACCACACCGATAGAATGTCAGTCGGTTCCACTTTAGATAAATCCACTTTCTCTTAATAACGTTAATATTTTCGCTGGCCAAGTGGCAAGCTTCATCCGGGCCGGCGCACTGCCAATTTACACACACTGGGGTGGGGGAAGGGTGGCGTGAAAGGGATGGGGTGCCACAGGACTACTGTACAGTGTAACAGAAAATCATTAATAAAGTAGTACCGGTTACCAACAGTGCTGTTTGTGCGCTTATCACAATGGAATCGCCTAAGTTTCAGAGCAAAGATATTTGAAATACTTAAGACAGGGTCACTGTTACAAAAAGAAATAGTGCAAACAGGAAAACTGACGCAATCCTAGCAACGCCAGGGCCTCCTCTTGCAGCTCAAGGCAGGGCAGGCAGGAGGCTGCGCCCCGCCTTCCCCCCCGCACCGGGCTAGAGGCTGCCCTCTCAAGTGTGGCAACCCAGCACTGTGCCCTGGCGTGGCCCCTTCTTAGGCCCTTTTCTTCCAGAAAGAAGAGAAAAGAAACCCCAGGAAAGGCACAGGCTGATCGAGGGACATCAGCCCAATCCCATTCCCACCAATTCAGAGCAGGCCCCCTCCGGGGGTCCTTGAACCCCCTTCTCTGGCGACTGCTTTCCTCTGCTCTCACGGTGAGGCCCTCTCCTCCACACAACCCCCAACGTACACAACCCAACTTTACAGTGTGCCCTTCGCGCCCCACAACCAGGAAGAAAATAGCTTTGAGGAAAGAAAGAGGGGTGAGAGAACCGGCCCGAGAGGGTGCTGGCGACGGGAGGAGCCCCGCCTCAGTGGCCCCAATTACTGAAGCCGATCTCCTGCTTGTATCTGTTGGTGAGGATGTTGGCTTTGCGGGTAAGTTTGGAGAGCACGGTGTGCAGCCCGCGCAGGTGGTAGTGGAATTGCTGCTCCAGATCTTCCTCGCCCGCATCCGCACTCTCCAAGTGGCTCAGGTCCACTAGGATGTCCTTGGACTTCCAGGTGTTCTCCTCGCTCCCTGCCGGCGGAGGTGGCTGGTGCAGGACTCCCCACTCGATGTCGTTACGGATGGACTTGAGCAGCACGTAGTGGCTGTACATGTCCCGGGAGGGCGCGAAAAAGCTGCCATTGGCGCTGCCGGGACTGGGGGCCGGGGTGGTGCGCTCCTCCAGGCAGCTGCCTCTGCCGCCTACCTCCACGCCGACCTCGTTGTCTAGCTCCGGCTCAGCCAGGGGCACGTCTCGCAGCAGGCTGGGCACCATCACCGTTTGGTCCATGTTGTTCACGGCGCCGATGAAGCGATTCATGGCGTTAAATAGCGAGTGCTTCTGGTTATAGGTATCGCAGATTTGCATCATGGTGGCCAAGTGGACGCGGAAGCGCAGGAATGCTGGGGCACGGAGATAGACGGCCGGGGCGAGGGGGTGCCCGCTTTCGCAAGCTCTCCGAGGCCCACGCTGGGCACTGGTTGTAGCCGGTGAGGCGGGATTCCCAGCTCCTCCTCCGCCCTTGCTAACGCTGGTGTCGCAGCCCAACCCTCCGAGATGCGCGGCTGTTCCTCGGTTTGGCTCGCGATGGCGGTGCGTAGTTGGTGGGTCTAGCCTTGGCCTGGTTGGGAGACGGGGACGAGAAAATACATATTATTCACCCGATTAGGGTGCCTGGCACCTCTATCCGCGGTCGTTGCTCGGGTCCTGACTACTACTGGCCGGAGACAGCGCGAGGGTGGCTCCCCGGGACCAGGCGGCCTCACCTACTCTAGTGCTAGCAGAGGGCCTTGGAGAAAAGAAGGGATGTCTCCCACCCAGATTCCCCCACTTCTCCCTTCGAAAGCCTGAGCGAAGGCAACCATGCTAGCCTGGCAGCCAAAGGGCGGGGACACCCACCTCTTGTACTACAGGATCCCTGCTTCTCAGTGTTTTCTCTGCGAGCTGCTGCTGCCCAAGGGCGCTGCTGCGGTCTGTGACCGGACTGTGCCTGAGGGTGGCTTCAGCCCCCAGCCCATCCCAGGTGCTCAATTTATAGTCCAGGAAAGGTGTCGCAGGCGCCCAGGACCACCCCCGGTGTCTCCTCCTCCTACCTCCTCCAGCAGCACAGATAAAAGGTCCCACCCAGCCCTGACCGGGAGTAACACTCGCCCAGCCCTTTCTACCGCGGGGGCGGGGCGCGCCGGGCGGCTCCGCCTCTCGCCTGATACCAGGACTAAGGCTGGTCGACCGGGCAGGGCAAGGCAAGGCAGGGCTAGGAGGGACAGAGCGGCCGCGCCCCTGCACCAACCCGTGGCAAGCTGACTGGGGGAGGGCCAGGCCTGGAGCCGGAGAAGGAGCCGTAGTCCAAACTAGAGGGCGGGCCTGGCAAGCACAGGCTGGGTGGGATGACCGGAATGCATGTGTGTCCGGGTTGCAAAAGAACCCCTCAACTCGAAATCTAGAGTGGCCACAGCCGGGAAACTAAAGCTTCGGTTTATTATTAGATGTCGGGTAAGAAGGACCCACAGCTGCCCTGATTCCATACAGGGACTCTTACGTAAGGGGGGGCGGGGGTTGGCTGGACATGCGGGATGCACGTGGACGCGAGGTGCTCTGGCGGGGCCCAGGCTGGGTCAGCTGCTGGAGAATGGGATCGCAGAGGCTTTTACTTCCCTCCTGGCAGGGCCTTTCCTATACTGCTGCCGGGTGTGAAGAGGACCCTGCCATCAGATCTGCACCAGTGCTCCTCTACTCACCCCCCACCACCCCGACCCGGAAGAGATCGGAGCACGGTGATGGAGAGTGCAACTGAGCCTTGTGGCCTTTTTGGCTATGGAAAGATTGTAGAAGGTGACAGAAGTTAAGCCAGGTGTTGGGTGTCATCATTTAACAGAAAAGTGGGGATGTATCCAATAATTTCCTGGTGTTGTCAAGTGCTCCTTTCAAAAGATAGTTCTTAACCAAATAGGGCCTGAGCTATGTACCACATCTCACTTCCTTTGCCATATTCCTGAGCTATGTACCACATCTCACTTCCTTTGCCATATTCCTGAGCTATGTACCACATCTCACTTCCTTTGCCATATTCCTCATCCACCAGAGAACTCTGACATTCCTACAGATAATTATGACTCAAGCTACTAATTTTAAATTTCTTTCCTCTAAAATCTTTGGAGGAGGTACTAGTATAGTATTTCCCTGCAAAACAAAAAGTGCCCTAAACAAGGAGAAACACATATGTAGAAATTTCTCTCTCTTTTTAAAAGGACCTGTATTTAAACCACTTATATTTAAATATTTTTCTACTGCAAACCATTTTTCTTCCTAATTGTATTTTGAAGAAACAGCTGAATTTGTGCAACAAGAACTAAGAACAGAAAAGTCACCAATGGCAGTGGAATCCAGTCTTGGGGGGGGGGTCCTCCCTCCAACCTAGTAGTTCTACATTGTAATCCATACTTTCTTTTTGTTTGTTGGTTTGGTTTGGTTTGGCTTGGCTTTGAGACAAGGTCCCCTCCAGTCATACTGGATTGGAACTCCAGCTGTGTACCTGAACTTCTCATCCATCCGCCCAGGCCTCCTAAGTTACTTTCTTTACAACAGGAATGTTATCTGCCCAGCTTAGCTAAAGAGATCAGAGGAAAGAAGACTGTACAGGAGAAAAAAAAAAGCATTGCTCACATTTGGAATATTAAAATAATCTCTTTTTGTACACAGAAAATCTTGTAAACTTTTCCACCTTCAGTTTTCTTCTCAGCAAAATGGAGTATCTCCCGTATGAGAAACTTTTCCAGCCTGATTCCTTAGTAATAAAATGAAGTTTCTTCATGGGTTGTGGCAATGATTTTGGTTAAGTTTAAAGGAGGTAAAACTCTCATTATGTAAATAATGAAGATTAATTGTTCTTAGTTCAGGACCTCATCATAGTGTAGAGGTATTTTATGTGTGGAGTCAGAAGTCTTAAAAACAGCCCGAAGGAGCTATGGTGAGCCATAGAGCGTCCAACCCAAATCCCCTGTTCTTAGGCAGCAGGAGCATAAAACACTCCAGGCTTGTTTTAAACATTATGCCTGATGAGTTTGAAAGAGGAAAACTCTGGAAAAAACAGATAACCTAGTTTCCAGTACTTGACTTTCTCCTAACACTTAACATAATTTGTCCCCCATCCCAGACCCTCTTGCTATTTCAAGTATGTGGGAACCCAGATGAAAACTAGACATTGCTTTGAGTAATCAAACGCTGGAATCCTGCTTTCATTTCTCTTCTACTCAGTACCAACTGTGTGATTAAGAGCACACAGAAAACGGAAATCCAAAGGATCTGAAAAAGGATCCCACTGTGAAAAAATGCCGAACTTGGAAAAAGCCCCTAGCTCCCTCCCTTTGGGCCCCATTCCTCGCGATAAATTTCCTTCCTTCTGTCAGGTCTGGATCTCTCAGTTTCTTGACTCCTGGCTGTCTGTTATTCTTAGACATTTCTTAAACTCTGTCAGAGGATGGTCTTGCACCTGCCTGCAAAACTTCCCAAACCGGGTCTCCCAGCTCCCCTCTCCCATCAGACCCACACAATAACTCACACCCACGGGGTAACTCCGGAACGGAAAGGTCCTCAGGCCAGAGCTCTGGGGCCCTAGGAATCACCCCACCGCCACCCCTCGTGCTTGGACCAATCGGAAGCCCTCAGAGAGTGTTATGCAAATTAGCCTTTGGTTCTAGCCAGTCAGAAACCACAGACCCCTCCCCCCCACACCCAGTGTCCTCTTTCACCCCAGCCGGGCCGAGCTGGAAGCTGGCGTCCCTGACTACCGGCCTGTAGCCAGTTTTCCACTCTGCATGATTGTAAAAAAATTTTAAAAAACGATTCCTGGGGGTATCTTAGGAGCTAGGCCAGGCCCTGTAGGAGGTAGGGAGCTTCTCTGGTTACTCCAGGCGCCGTCCCTTCTTATCTGGAACCAGATGAAGGCGCAGAGCAACCTGTCCAGGACTCATTTTACCTAAAGAAAATAAGAATAATCATCCGCGAGCAAATTAACTTTTGAGTACTGGCTTAAGGCAAGGTCTCTACTTTTCTACCAATATGCCAAAATCCTGTTAGAAGACTGGTCTGAGGTTCTTCACCTACTTTACTTATTTTTACACAGCTCCAACACAGGAGCTCATAAATGTTGGATCTTATTCTTTCTTCACCTTCTTCTGAAACCAAGAAATGGTGCTTGGCTGGCTTATCCTGCTCCTCCTGACCCCACAATTCACAAATTACCCCATCTGTTGTGTCTTTTGGCTAGTTTAGGAAAAGATATTTTAAAGGTGACTGGAAATTACTAAACAAAGTAGTGAGCAAGAGTAAACTGGTGGGAGAAAGCAGAGTGGAGAAATGAGAGGTCGGGCTAGGAGCTGGAGAGAAAGTGGCATTTTAAGGTTAGACTCCATCCCAAGCCAAGAGAGTGGAGTTAGTTGTATTGATACAGAACACACAGGGAATAATTTCATGAAAACTGTCAAGGAACTATGACAATCACATTGTCGCGTTAAAGGCCATGTAGTCCAATCACCTGCTCCTACTGAAATTGCTCACATCATCCCCAGCAAGTGGTCACCCTGGCCTACATTTTCATGCTTCCTTCCCTGGTATCAGTTCTTGGACCTCTCCAGAAAACAATGAAAGACATGGTCAGTGTTTGCAGGTAGGTATGGTTCCCTCGAAGCTTCTGTTCTGCGAGAAATTTTCCTTTGGTTCATGTAGCAATTCTTCATGTTTTCAGTTGAGTTGCTCACTCATCTTGGTCACAGTCTTTGAAAATAGTTTCAGTTCATTTACAGGTTTTGGAAATCATTCCAAGTAACTTCTTTCCTGGGACAAAATGGAGTGGCACAACCACCTATTTTATTGCAAATGGTGACTTTTCTAGGCCGTATTTATTGAGCAAAAGTGCTGAAAACTTAGATATGGTAACTTATTTTAGCTTCACAACAACCCAGAGAAGAAAGTAAAGATGAAGGAGTTTAATGACCAAAGTAGAACTGGGCCTTGACCCAGTGTTCTAGTGCCAGATCCAATGGCAGTTATTACCCAGGAAATACCCACTTCTCATAATGCTGCCTAATGTTTAATGGACTCATTTTAAAAAGCTACATCCATATGCTGTTATAACAAAATTTTCTGTATCTTATTCCTGAGCAATGGAGATCTTTGTGGACCAAAATACAGAACTCTCTATTACTTTTAGCTAACCAGATTTTGGATCATTATTCCAGGCTGTTATAGTAGATTAGATTCTGATTCTGTGCTCTAACACACTTGGCTATTAAACACACATCTGATAACTAATCTGTATATTCATGCAAGCTATTGATAATGGGTACAAGGAAGCACTCCACAAGGGTAAAGTGCTATTGAACATCTGGAGAGCTCCTTCAGCTTGGTATCATTTCATTAACTGACACCTTTTGGCATATGTTTTTGCATCCAGCTCTGAATTATATTAATTGTACCATCATTCAAACAGCAGACTATTATGAGAGACCTTGCTAAGTGCTTTATGGAACTGTCAAGTTAATGGCTAGCTTTCTTCTTGTAGAGTTAAGGAGGGCATTTTTGTCATTATAGAGTAACCACTGTCACATGATATACAAAACCAGAAATATCTCCATAATATTCTGAGTTCAGGGAAAGTTGGTAATTCTAAAGAATAACTTTTGTTACATTTTCAGTAATTCTATTTCGTTGAGAACTCTATATGGACAATGATGCATTAAATTTGAGAACAATTAAAAGGCAAAACTTCTTATATAGGTTTCTAACCAAACAGGAACTTTTAAATTTTATTATTACTAGGTTTCTGAAATCAGAGCTTAAAAAAACTATAATATAAAGTTAACATAAGGAGAAAAGATGTATATCAACGTCATATGTTCAAGCCCTAATATATATTCTATTTTGTAGAGGCTACTCTATCATAAATACATTATCCAATGGACCTGTTCCAATGTGACATTGGTAAGTCTTTTATGAATAACTTATTTTTCAAACCCTAATAATGAAAGTAAACCTAGACATTAGAGGCAAGGAAAATTTACCTACATTTTATTAGATTGTCTAAATAGAACTTGTAGGCTAATCACATAATTATGAGCAAAACTAATAAGAAAAAAACATAGTAAACAGATTATATAAATCTGGACAAAAATGTGACCTACAAGAACTTCTAGCTATATGAGGCTGATAAGAATAGGAAAAATAATAGAATTTAAGGAAGACTTGGAAAAGGAAATAGCCAAGCAAAGGAAGCAAAATTTAAGTCAAAATATTACTAGAAAGCTAATATATACACAATAAAGAATGAAACAGGTATGCCAGAAACTTAATTATGGTAAAGGGTACAGAAAACTATAAAAGACACAAAAGATTTCAGAAAAACACAAGAATAAACAGTGTTAAGGGGAAAGGTACATGTTGATTAAAGAAGAGAAAGACAGCACAATATAAGGATAATTGAGGTCCCCCACCCAGCAAGTGAAATAGATAAACAATGTGGATCTGGTGAGGTGGCTCCATGGTTAAGAATGCTCAGTATTCTTGTAGAAGACCTGAACTTGATTCCCAGCACCTGTGAAGGAAGGTACACAACCTCACGATCTCACAATTGCTGTAACTTCAGCTCCGGGTGATCCACTGTTCTCTTCTAGACTTTGTGGGTACATGCACACATCACACGTAGATGCACATATATACACGTGTTAAAAGTAAACTTATATCTCTTTCTTTTTGTCTTTTTTCTTCAGAGCCGAGGACTGAGCTCAAGGCCTTGAGCTTCCTAGGCAAATCTTCTACCACTGAGCTAAATCTCCAACCTTAATTTTTCTTTAAAAAAAAAAAAAAAGACGAAAAACAAATAACAGGAAAAATTCCTTGAAAAATGTTGTTCATCTGCAGGCTTAACATATATATACTGTATACTAGGTAAAATTATTCAGAGCAGTTGAAAAACAAGCTAGTTATCTTTTTCAACTTCAGGAAAAAAGGAAAAGAGTTTTCAATATCCAGGCAGGAAAAGAAGCCAACCAAAGGTTGGCAAAGTATAGATAATCATTCTGTGGATAGAACTGTAAGAAAGAATCTGTCATTAAAGAACATTATATCACTCAAGTAAAAATCAATATGCAGACATCCTGAAACATGAACTCAGAGCTTTTCTTCTTGAAAAAAATGCATGGTATAATTATGACTACAACAATGACAATAACAGAATCAAAATGAAGGACTCAGGAATAAAGAAACGCTGATTCTGTGAGTTGAAATCACAATAAAAATGAGATAAATCAGTGTGAACTGGAGAGATGGTTCAGTGGTTAAGAGCACTGGCTGCTCTTGCAGAGGACCCGGTTTCGTTTCCCAACACCCACATAGCAGCTGATAACTGTCTGTAACTCCAGTCCCCGTGGATGTGACGCCCTCTTCTTCCCTCCTCTCACTTCTACGAGAATTGCACGACATGGGTGCACTTACATACATGCAACAATATATTCATACACATAAATTTCTTTAAATTAATGAATAAAATCTAAAAAAAGATTAATCAGTGTGAGTACTATGGGTGCAAAATAGAATGTAAATATTTAACGCATAAGACTCAAAAAAATGATGCAATTAACAAAATTAGAAGATGGGTGACTAAATAGTAGCATTCAATAATGTCAAAAACCAAATCGTACCAGTTAAAAAATAAACACACCAAGATCTTAATATTTTTGAAGCATACCTGAAGCTTACAGGTATCTTTCAGAAATTGATGTTTTCTGAAACAAAGACTCTCTTTTCTCAAGTTCATTCTTTTTTTTTTTTTCAGAACCACTTCAGTAACTACAGAAACTCTAAGTTTTAGTATTTGTTTAAAGTAGTATGTATGGCAATGTTTTGTTTCTTCACCAGGGTACTAGGTGCCAGTCACATAGGTGTGTTCAGTTTGTAAAGATGTATCTGGCTGACATATATGAGTGAATACTTTTCTGCATATTTGTTAAACTTAATTGGTTTTTCGAACCTGCATCCATATAAGATTCTGGTATGAGAATCAGGCAAAGGGAGAATCAAAGGATCCAGCTATCTGCTTCAGAATGCTCTGTCTTTGGAGGGTAAGAACGAACTGAACTGAAGTGGTAGTAGAAAAGTAGTAAAGCTCTCTGAACCTTTGATCTTTAGGACAAATCACTGTTATTTTCTGCTCCTGTCAACTGCAGTACAAGAAATCAAACTAGGCATGCAGCTTGGTGGCAGAGAACGTGCCTTGCATGTGGGAGGCTCTATGTTCAATTCTCACTACCACGGGGGCGGGGGGTAATCTGATACTAGGGGCTTTTTTTTTTACTTGGTGTTGGACAGATTGCATCATTAGAGATAATTATATTAAAGGAATGTTTTTTTTTCCTTTAAACCCTTAAAATTTATTTCAGAGTATTCATTTGTGCAGCTTGTTGAAGTATGAATAGTCACCTTTACTATTCTGACAGATTGCTGATAACTGGAAACATCTAGAAACCTGATATTGGCTGTTCTAAGAGGTCTCTACTTCTAACCCTAAGTGTAGAAAAGATTATATTAATGGAGTCGTGTGTCTCCCTATGCCTTCATTTATACCTTAAACTTGACCAGAGGACTACGAAATTTATTTATAGCATCTCATCACCAGCCTGCAAAGAATGGACTTTATGTTAGTTTTAGTCCAGGGCAGTCCAAAATCCAACAGGAGTGTATAATCATTTTCCAGTGATTTCACAATTAGCAGAAATTTGGGATAAATTTATGGGTATACTATTAAGAGATACCTTGATTTTGACATAATTATCACATTGTTCCTGGAAAAATGTCAAAGAAACATGTTTTTCATTTGGTAGAAAATGATTGATTACCTGGGTTAGAATTATAAAATGTTCATTTGTGGTGTAATTTGTCCAGCTATATTTGCTGTAAATTTTATCTAGGGCTACAGGGTGTCCATAGAAACGATCCTTTGGTTTCCACTAGACAGACTCAAATACCTTTCCAATACTGATTATAAATCTGTTCCAAATCTAAGTGGGATTGCTGAAGTGATTGAAGTGATTCACATTATAATTAGATCTTGGGTTTTAGAAAGAGCAACCTTGATTTGCTTAGCAGAAAATCTGTAAAGTAAGAAAAAAAGAACAGCATGACCAGATATTAAAGCACATCGTTCACATTCAGTCTTTTCTTTTACCAGAAGGAGATGATCCAAATCACAGCGCTTTCGATGCAGAATCCAGAATAGTCCAAATTGAAGATTCTTGGGACTCTGTGATATATTAAGAAATTCTAAGCCAAGGCTTAGTGTTTGTTCCTTCAATTCTAAGTTTTTTTTCATTTAATTTCAGACAACACGCTCAGCTTCATTATATCCAAGTTGAAGTAAATTTATTGCCATTATAACAACCAGTTCAGCTGCTTTTATAATATTGTTCTTGACATACTGCTGGGACCATGACTTTCATACGTTCAACCAATTGGTTTGGGTGTTTCACATTTCTTTGTACCATTTGTGTAATTCTATTCTGGCTGGAAAATAAGAGTGTTTGGGTTATTGCTACCTAATGTCATGTTTAGTCAAAATTCTTTTGTGTATTCAGGTATAAGGCATTTATTACTTCTAGAATACCACCCCCAGTTGTATCTTCCAGACAGAAACAGGCTGTCTCCCCTTCCCTCCCCTCTCTTCCTCTTCTTCCCTTTCCTCCCTTCCTCTCGCTTCTATTTCATTTTCTCTAAGGACCGGGAATGGAAACTGAGTAGTGTCTAATGGAAATACACTGAAATTTCAAGTTCCTCATATTTTGGAATGCTCTATAGCATGCTCAAGAAACAAGGTGTTCAAGGAGGTTACGTTTACCTATAAGATGCTATAGAAAATGATATGATAAATGAACAAAACAGAAGAGACCACACATTGTAAAATAAGGGAATAATTCTGCATTCTTTTTTTCTCTATTATTTCTTTTTAATTCTGTAATCTTTTTTTTTCAGAGTTGAGACTTTCTTTAATGAAAAACAGTGTATAGGCCATTTCCAAGATTTGAGCACCAAACTGTTTCTTGGGAATGGCACAAACTTCCACAATTTTTAAAAAAATTATTTATTTAACAACCACATACTTAGAAGAAGCATTTCATTACAACAGCATTGACATGTTCAATAATATTTTCCTTTGCTAAGATGCATCTCTTTCAAAATTGGCTGTAAATTTTTAGGTTTACAGCTGAATTATTACAGTTATACAATATTGTACTCAGTATAAACCCTCTAAGACATAAAATTAAATGAGGTTATAACCTTTGAAAAAATCTCCATTTCATTATTAAAATACAGAGTTTCATACAGAAAAATTCATTTTTAATGCAATTGACATTAAGATGTTTGCACATGCATTTCTAATCGCTATATATCTGATTATTACTAGTCACAGTCGGTTACTTGGCATTTGAGCATGGATATAAAATCATCAGGTAGATTTCAGTAGTAATGTTTTTCACATCTACTAATTATTAAGGAGCAAATTTTTATACTTTGAAGAATTATTATTTTTAATTTTTAATAACTACATGATTAGAAGAAGCACTTCACTACAGCTTTAACATATTCAGTAACATACTCCAGAGCAAGAGTACATCTCTTTCACAAGTGGCTCTAAGTTTCTAGGTTCACAGTTGAATTAATACAGTTATACAATATTGAACTCAGTATAAGCCCTGTAAGACATAAAATTGAATGAGTTTTTAACCTTTAAAAAAGATCTCCATTTC